ATAAAATAATTTATAATGACCAAAACATGAACAATTCAAACGTTAGTGAGTAAATTGGAAAATTTGAAATTACAGTGAGTGAAATAAGAGATATAATAAATTTTAGTGAGGAATAATGTAATTTACCCTACACATATGATCTATTAAAGTTAGGGTGTGTAGGTGGATAAGTCTACAAGATACGTCGCACACTACAAGACACCACTAAAATGATAAATCGAAACACATCACTAACTAAATTGTTTTTACTAAGTAAATACTTAAAATGTAAATTGTAAGTTTAGTACTTACTCTAACATTTTTATTTCGTTTTATTATCTTTTTTTTTTCAAAATCATTAATGACAACGTCGATATAGCATGACATGCCATTTTTTTTATTTATTTTTTTAATTTCCACATCATCTTGTTATTTCTTCGTCGATACTTTTTAATTAATTTCATTCAACCAATTAAATGGTGACATGTGTCATCAATTATGGAGATAAAATAAAAGAAATTATTCTTGCTATTAGCATGAATTTAACCTAGACCTCTTACATGAAATGCACACTCAACTATTGAGTTAAACTAGTAATTTAAGTTAATTTAACAACATTTTGTATTTAACTTATATAATAGTATCATCACAAAATCAATATTTTTCGATGATTGTAAAATTCGAATATGAGTCACTTTAAATTAATTAACCAAAGTTTAGTCATTAAACTAGAATGTGAATCTATATTTATTATATCTAACTGAATACTTACTTATATCATTATGAAATCAAAGAATAATTTTTCACTTTATTGGAAATAATTAAATAATTAATTATATTATTTATAAAATTTATATTAAATTATTCTAAAAAGTGTATTTATAATATTATAAAAAAATATTTTAAAAATATTTATTTAATGTTTAAAATCATATTATTTATTTATTTGAAAAAAGAATTATTTATTTATTTGAAATAATATTGTTTTTAAATTATCTATTTAGTTTTATATAATATCATACGTAACCAAAGTGATACTTAGATACTAAACGTGTAATTTACCTAAATTTTAAATTATTTAAAATTAAATAGATAATTTAAAGTAATATTATTTCAAATAAATAATTAATATGATTTTAAAAATTAAACAAATATTTTTATAATATTATAAATATACTTTTTTATAATGATTTCATATAGTTTTTTAAATACTTTTTTATTTCCAAATAAAGTGAACAATTAGTATTTTAATTTAATAATGTTACAAGTAAGTATTGAGTTCAGTATAAAAAAAATGATTCACACTATAGTTGAGTGGCTAAGCTTTCGTTCATTACTTTAAATCATATTTGAATATTATAATCATCGAAAATATTTTTTTGTGATGATATCAAAAAATATGGTGAAATTTACTTAAATAACTAGCTTAGTTCATTGGTTGAGTGATTTGTTTCTCATGTATGAGACTCAAGTTCAATTCATACTAGGAGTAAGAATGATTTCTATCTTTTTATCCTCATAGGTGGTAACACATTTTTTATCCTGATAGGTGGTGACATGTGTCACCACCTAATTTGTTGAATAAAATTAATTAAAAATATTGACGAATAAAGAAAAAAGTGATGTTGTAACACCCTCGGACCGCTAGGTGACTCATCCGATCTGAGGTGTCACATTAGGGCCACATGAGCGATATATAGTCAAAATCTAAGAAAAATTAAAAATTTTGTTAAACATTTTAAACCCTAAAACAATCATAAATAAAAATATGCAAGTTCAGAAAATCATTCATATATTAAAAATAGAATTTTAATCATACACAATATAATACAAGTTTCAGACTAAACATAAAAACAAAACGTGACTTGCCCCTAATTATACGGGTATCGTACTCCGCAAGCAATGTTGAAGGAACTCCCATTATTGATGTTGATAACTGAACATGATCAAATCCTTTAACCTGAAATGGTAAGTAACAGAGTGAGATTTGTTAAAGCTTAGTAATAGAAAACTACTAGATGAATGCTAAAGTACAAGCAAATATATGATAAGGCATAAAATTTTCTTATGAATCCATACATATAAAGGTTCTAGTGATGAGTTGAGGTTATTAATTAGTTCTTCAAGTATCAGTCAGGAAGCCTACAGTTTAGAAGAAGCATTCATAGAGAGATTCGAGAGATTGAAATGAGGTGTCAGTGTGTTCCTACAAAACTAAAAATGGTGTACATGTAGTTAAAAAATAGTAGTAGTTTATTTACGAAAAATAGATTTTAAAATCACAGTAATACCCTCCAACCAAACACTGATATACAATTCCCTAAAACTACATCCATAACGACTTACCCTAAGCCCATTGGGTGTAGGTGTCAACCTGAGGGATACTTCAAGTTCATAAGGAATTACCAGCTTGATACAAATCCCGGACAATACCCCCAATATAAATCAGATTAAATAGTAAACTACAATATCAGAATCTTGAGCCAGTAAGATATCATAAAAGTAACATATATGTTTATTTAAATCACATAACTGCCCTCTACCCATACACCAAAATACAGTCTCCCAAAACTGCATCCATAAGGCCTTACCCTAAGTCCAAGGGGTGTTGGAACCAACATGAATGAATACCTCAGATACATAAGGAATTACCAACTTGATCGGAGCTAAACTTGTAGAACTCCATATCGCATCCTAGAAAGTACTTTAAACAAAACAATTCCAAATAGTACCAATAGAATCAAGAAATCTTAATCAGACCTATTTATTTTCAATAAAAATAGTAATCATAGAACATGTATCAGGCAAACTTGATTTAAAATTCAGTAAATAAAAAATCAGGCTTTAAATCAGATAATTTTTTTGGAAGTCAAAACATATAAGGCAGTCACATTATGAATCAAATAAAATAGTTATGTGTACAATAATTCAAAAAATGTATTTAAAACAATTACATAGCACACAAAAAAATACTAGAGAATTCAATTATTTTTCAGAGGCATTTGATAGTTATCAAAAAGGGAAAACATGGAACATCTGCAAGGATTTCATAAACGATGTCCCTAATAAAAGGGTTCGATTACTAACAAATCAAATCAAACATTTAGACATTGATGTTTCAGTACCATTTAGGATTTGGGTGCATCATGAAGATATTTAAGAACATTTACATCAAAATCATTTAAGATTCGGATATAACAAGAGTAATTTCATTACTCATGCTATCAAGGGCATTTTAGTTATTTTGCTATGAGAAGAAAATTGGTAATTACTCTAATAAGGATAAAATGATAATTTGTAGTATTCCAGTTTTCTAATTATTTATCAAGCTTTTAAATCCCATCGAATAAACCAAACTTCAATAACGTTGTATTTATCGATTATTCAAACAGAAACACTTCATGAATATTCAGTTTTTTTTACTGATTGCATTATATACTTGGATAAATCACCTTCACAAACCATCATTGAACGTGACTTGAGGACATAGACATTTATTTAGGTGGTATTCCTTTATAATATTGTAATAATAACAGTGATGTCTGATAAACTTAGATTATACTCCAAAACCCCTAGGGGTATTACAACATTTTAAGCATCATTGACACTTTCAAAACTCAGTCACAAACATTCCCTTAATCCAGGTCGTGAGGGTATTTAGGTCATTTCAGTACTCGATGTTATTTGGTCATTTCAAAGCTCGAGGGTATTTCAATCATTTTACTCGATTCAGATGTATACATTATTTCTAGTAATTTAGTCATCGGGTGTTTATTCAAGAATCAGAAATTCTAAGTCTTTTGCCATCTCAGAGATTAAAATCGATTATCGAGATTTTTTTCAAACAAAAAGAGTATTTAATAAGTGAATCAGTAGTTTTATCAAGTCCATTTTGAGTTCTCAAGTTAATTTTAATATCAGGGGTAATCATTGACAATTTTACACTATAAGGGTATTTTCGTAATTCCATATCCAAGTATTTCTAACATTAATTCTTTTCATCGAAATAATCAGGGTTAAGGATTTTGAGATTAACTGATTCATCAATTTATCATTGATTTTGGGGTTTCTTATTTGTCATCTAATTTTTTATCTTAGTCATTTGATTCATATCCAATACACTATCATTTTTCCATATTCAATACTAGTTTCAGAGTAATCAATGATAAGTACACGTCTAAACATTTTTATCCATGCATTCACCAATTACCAAATATTTTCATAAAACATACAAAATGTAGTAAAGTATTAATTGGAGTTCTGAGCTACATTGATTGACCATTTAAACACTATTTGATTGTTCTTGAATGTGAATTTGACATCCCATAATATCTCAGATATATGAAAAAACAAATTGCATCAGAAACAAAACTTAATCGTGAAAATTAGATCGAATCAAAAGATAAAATGTTGAAAAACAACATATCGGGTTTAAATTTAACATAATGGACCTACAATTAGACTTAAGACATTGAAAACATCAAGATAAATGGTCTCAAAAAAATTAACAGTTATTCAATGGTCAACGACTCAATCAATGGTTAATGGTTCGTTTAACGGTCAACGACTCAATCAATGTGGTTTGGCTCTATCAACGCAACTCGGCTCGATCAACGTGGCTCAACTCGGGCAATGTAGTTCAGCTTGATCAATGTGGCTCAAATCGGTTCAGCTCATGTCATAGCAGTTCAGACCGATTTGCCCAATTCAGTAGACTCTCCTTGCTTGCAGACGTCAGACGACATGCGGTATCTCTGGTCATCGAAACGGTACTAAATTTTCCGATTCAAAAATCATGCTATTCTAAACCTCGTGCCAAGCTTGGTTTACGACGGTGAGTGGCGAAAATGGTATTTCACGAACGGTCGAACTTTCCCTCGCTCACCCCTCTCGAGGTGTTAGCAACGGTGAAACCGTTGATACCCAAAGAAGCGAAATAATGAGCTAGACCACTTGGTGTGTACGGTGAGGCTCATCGGTGACTGGTCAACAGCGAATCATTGGAAAAACCATAGGGACAATCATGGTTTGTCCTCCACAGCCAACGGTGAAGCTTCACGACGAGGGGAAGGTTGGGCTTCGATCACAGGACAACGATGATCATAATGATGACGGTGATTTACACCATGAACGATCAAAGAACGGTTATTGGAGCTTCAACGGTAAGGTGAAAAGGTGATGAATTGTAGAAATCTCTAGACTTAAGCCGGTGAATGCCTTCTTTTAGGGGTTTAATACTTATAATAATAATAATAATAATAATAATAATATTTTATTAATTAAAATTAACAGAACCTAGGCCATTTGATAAAGGCTTAACTACTTCCCTAGGGTGTGTATTATCGGATATTAAGTATTATCCGATCCGAATTTTTAGATATCTTAAAATTTTGAATACCTAAAATAATGATTCGTATTCGATCCAAAAAAATCGAATATCTAAATATCCGGATTCGAATTCGATTTTTTTTTTCTTTGCAAAAAATTCAAAAAAAAATTCAACATAATAAAAGCATTAAACAAATAAGAAACACTTAATAGCTCTTATGATTTCTCAGTTTAGCAAAGATATGGTGAAACTAGAGGATGATATTAAAATACAAGCTAGAATCCAGAAATTCATACTTTATCGTGCACTTCCTGTACTTGAAATTTGTTTGTGCTAGTGCATCAAGTGCCTTGGTCTTTTCCGCTTGTTCCTTGAGCGCTTTCATCTCAGCTTTCACTCTTTTCTGTGATTCAAGTTCCGCAATTCTCCGAGCCGATTCGGTCGCTTCCATCGCTGCTTTCGACTTAGCTTTCTCATGTTCGGCTATCGTTAACGCAGCTTCCTCGGCAAGCCGTGCCTCTTCAAATCTCCATTCTTCTTCCATTTTCCACAGCTGGAGTTCTCTTTCCTGTTGTCATGTAATTGTTAGGCACAAAATTCTAACTCTAGTTAAATATTTAAGCATATTTTTGTTAACAATCTAACCCTTGTTTTTGCTGTGAGTGCTTCTTTACAGGCAGTACTATACATTTCCATTGTTTGCTAAAAAATTCTGGTGCATTTTTAATATGCACCATATCTTTGTATAGATTTCTCGTCTAGCTCCGCCTATTTTCCCATTGCGCAATCATATTCTTAACCAATCCAACATAAAACCAACTCCTCCCTCTCCTCCGGAGTCGCAAATCGTGCCGACAACCGAGAAGCCGCGACCCAAACAGCCGCCTAAATCCATTGTTTAGCTCTTGAACCATATTGCTAAAAAATTCTTAAACCGGAATTGCCCAGTAAGAAGAAAATTGTAATTCTTTGTGAAATATTTTTCTTAAAGCTAATATCTTTCCTGTCAATTCACTTAAATTATATATATAAGAAATCTACTGGAATTAAATTACAAGTAAAAATTCCAAATCCTGGTCTCTGAAAATTCTGAGATATATATATATATATATATGATATGTAGAACAGATGGGAAAATAGAGTGACACCGAAACACTACAAAAGAGTTGCCCTGGGAAAAGGAATTTGAAGCAATTTCATAAACCCTATTTAGAGAAGAGTCAAACAGATGAAGGAGAGAATCAAAATAAATAAATGATTTCTAATAAATAAAAAGTTAGTTCAACAACAACAACAAAAAAGTGAAAATTTTAACTTTAGAAGCGCAGGCCGAGAGAAGAGGCGAAGAATTTCTAGCCAAAATTTCCAACTTGAAAGAGTCGGAAGAAATCGCAGAAGAAACTTGATTAGAGAAAGAGAAAGGAAAAAGGAAAGAAAGAAAGAAACTTATTACTTTGACACTAATAATACCCGTATTTCTCTGGGTTTGGGTTTGAAAGAATGCATATAGTCCAAATTAACAGCTCTGGGTTTGAAACATATTAAAATAACCTAAATTATTTTCAAGTTTTCGGATAATCCGAATTTAATTTTTTATCAATCCGTATCCGATTTAAAAATTCGAAGAAAAAAAATTCGGATACCCATCCAAACTATCTGAAAATTGAAAAACGGATCGGATATACGAATTTTCGGATCAGATCGAATCAGTCGGATCGGATTCTTTTGCACACCCCTACTTTCCCAGCACGCTTCATTTTTTACACAACATGGGTAAACACATTTGAAGTCCCTTATCTTTTTGGAGTTCGCCCTTTTGATACCAATCTTTCATAATTTCTTTAAATTTGAATTCCAACTTTTTTCATAATTTAATTCTTTAATAAAATTTTTGGTCTTATAGATGTGATAATTAAAAATACAAAAATTGACATGTCATGCCACATAAGTATTGTTGTTAATGATTTTTAAAAAATTAAAGTAACGAAATAAAAGTGATAATTTAGGTACAAAACATGTAGTTTACCCTTTTAATATTTATTTGATAAGGACAATTTAATTAGTGATATATTTCGGTTTGTCGATTTAGTGGTGTGTTGTGTATGCGACGTGCACCGTAAAATTTTCCTATGCAGTTTAACTCGTTAATTGATGAAATGGTTATATTTTAAAAATTAATTAGTAAAATTATCAAGACTAAATGATTTCAAGGGTAAACTACTTGAACGACCACTTTACTATATGGTTGGTCTAGAAATGATCATTATTTTTCAAAATTTTGTTAATATGACCACTCAACAATTAATTGAGTTCAATATAGCCATCTTCCGGTAACATGTAACGGAAGTACTTACGTGGCAGTTAACAAAATTGATATAATTACATATTTGATCCTCAATACTTGTAAAATCTATCAATTTTATCGTAATTTTAATTTAATTCAATAAATTTAATCATCTAATCAGATGATAATACTTATCACCATTAGATTAAATGATATTTTCCATAATTTAATTTAATTTATTTAAATATTTATGGTGACACACTATCTAGTTAAAGAAAAATAAAATTACAAGGAAAGAAGGAAAGGGAGAAGGAGGATTCAAACTTTGGGATGTGAGGAACCCAAGCTTGCGTGCATAACAACTGAGTCAACCATCACGTTTGGGATGTGTCTTACAACATAATGCATATATTTTATAAACTAGTTAATGCTAGAAAATGAAAGAAATGAAAATGTCTATGGAGGGATATGAACCTAGGCCACATGAAAAACTTGAAAGCATCAAACCACTAAACCAAACCTTACATTTAACTAATATTTTGATAGATTTTATATATACATTTAACGTTTATTTATACACTATTAAAACAATTAAATTTAAATTTTATATATTTTAGAATAAGTATAATATTTTCTTTTCCATATTTATAATTCAATGATTATATATAATCTTAAATTGAGTCTTTTTAGTTTAATTAATGATTTTATTTTTATTAAAAAATAAAATATATGAATCATTTATATATTAGTGAATTTTTATTAGATTGTGTAGTTTAAAAAATGTAATTTAAAGTTATTAATTTTTTATAATTTAAATTACATATTTTATTTTTAGTAAAAACAAAATTATTAATTAAACCAAAAAACTCAATTTAAGATTATATATAATCTTTGAATTATAAATGTGAAAAGGAAATATTAAATTTATTTTAAAAATATAAAAAATTTAAATTAAATTCTTTTAATATTGTATAAATCAATAATAAATGTATATATAAACTCTATCAAAATATTTTTTAAATATTGTAAGGTTTGATTTAGTGGTTTGGTCCTCTTAAGTTTTTATGTGGCTTAAGTTCAAATCCTTCCAAAGTATTTTCATTTCTTTTATTTTCTAGCATTAACTAGTTTATGAAATATATATACATTATGCTGTGAAACACAAACAAAACGTGGAGGTTAGCTCAGGGATTATGTGTGCATGCATGGTCTTAGGTCTTGAGTCTGAATCCTCTCAAATCTCTTATTTTGTCTTTCCTTATAATTTAATTTTCTTTTAACCAGGTATATAATTAATTTAAATAAATTTAAATTACAAAAAATATCATTTAATTTAATGGTGACATGTGTCACCGTCTGATTAAATTTATTAAATTAAATTAAAATTATAACCAAAATGATAGAATTTACAAGTATCGATGATCAAATATGTAATTATATTAATTTTATGAACTACTACTCAAGCACTGCCGTTAAATGTTAACGGCGAGTGGCTATATCAAACCCAATTAATTAGTTAGGTGATCATATTTATGAAATTTTGAAAATGGTGGCCATATTGACAACTCGTGACTACCGATAGCAAAGTTTTGTAAGAAACCAAAACCGACTTAAGGAACAGTTTTCACTGTCGAGCTGCAAGAAAAAGGGACTCCTACTTTTACGGTCAATGTTATGATCAGATTCAGATGCTTACATACCCTAGATTGATGCAAAGTGGCTGACAAAGCTGGCTTGGAACTTATCTTCAGTTAGCAAAAACATTAACTCTGAATCGAGCGGTAACTCCAAGGTGGAGCTTCTGCTCTGCAATATATTCTCCTGTTTCCCTGATCTCTGGAAGAGAAACAATTCTCTTGTCTACATCCCTACAGATCAACACAAGAGTAGTTGGAAAATTAAGCAACCATGGCTAAGGACGAAGGCGGATTGGACATCTATAAATCTCTAAATATCAATCCAGTATCGTCAAGAAAGCTTTACTTGGTAGGCACTGCCTACTCACTCGTGCTTGGGAATCCAAAGAACGATTTAGATTTGAATTGGTCGTCTTCGTCAAGTACAAAAATCAAAATAAGATGGACAAGGCAGAGAGTTTATTGGTCAAAAGTTGAAGTCTAGATAAGAATATGAAGCTAGAGAGGTATAGAATTGAACTCCCGCCTCCATATGATCGAGAGCAGTAATAACAAAGTTTTTTTTTTTTTTTTAAATAATGTGAAGAATATTTTGACAGTATCAAACGGAAAAACATAGAACATGTGCGAAGACAAACGTCCCACGAGGATTGTTTTCATATTTTAGTATTATGCAATCTCAATTTAACGATAAAATAATACAACATTCTAAAGTTTTTATATATTGTTTAAATCAAACTCTAGAGCATACTCATATTCAAATTATTATATTTATTCTCGCTAATTATATTTAGGGTGTTTTCCTTACAAAACAATAAAAACAATGTGTGATATAATTTAATCATTTTTCTATAATTTCTTAATGTAATATTAAATTAATTATTCAAAATAATAGAATATACTTTCATTTTGTAGGGATCTATTTTTAAATTTTCGCTCAGAGTTCAAAAATATCTGAGACGGCTCTACTACATCGATTAAGTAAAGATTTGGTATAAAACTATAACAGGATTATTTTATTATTTTTTAAAAAAATTAGTGTAGAAAAGAGAAACTTATTCATAATTTAGTGATATCATTTATGTAGTCTACCCTTATTATTACAAGGAAAACCAATAGGCATAGCATTGGCATTTGTGAGTGCTTGGTCTGCCACACTGAAAGATGGAAGCTCTCAGCATGGTAGCAGACGATTCCTTTGAACAGGAAGCCAAGCTCAATGAGGACTCATCTTGGCACCATTGTCGAGTATCCCTCAGGTCATTCTCTCTTTCAAATCATTGAGTTTCCACTTTTTTTTCTTCCATTTTTGCCAGCATTGTCTTTTCAGTTTTCAATAATCCGTGTTCCACGTTATGGAACCCCTCGGCTTGTTCTATGGAATCGTGGGTTGATTTTATGTAATTTTCTGACTTCATACTATCACTGATCACTGGGTTTTATTTAATTCACACAAAGGTTAATAAGAAGAAAACAGAGAGCGAGAGAGGGTAGATTTTAGTATTTTACTCTTAGAGTAATTGTTCTATGAGAAAGGTGCCATTGACGACCGACCGAATAATATATGAAGAACAACCGGTGACCGGAACAGCCCGATGACTGGAGTGTGTGAATAAGTTATGAGCAGTTGAGTGTTTATTAGGGATTTGTTAAGATAAATATTGAGAGAAAATATTAAATGTGTATTTTGAATTGAAGGAATTTGTAATACATGGATTTAAGCCTACATACAACTATTGGGTTTATATAACCCAAATCCATAACCAACTATTAACAAATCTAACTAATTACAATTGAATCAATCTTATACTCTAACCTTCACCCTCCTTCTTCAAGTTCTTGATCTTCAAGAAATGAAAAGAGTTGGTTCTATATAAAGAAATAAACTTTCTCTTCATTAATCATTTTGTAATCGAGAATCGAAGTGCAATGCCTCCTTTCGTTCTACTTTAGACGAGAATCGAAAGTGCAATGCCTTCTTCCGTTCTACTTTAGACGAGAATCGAAAATGTGATGCCTCCTTCCGTTCTACTTTAGATGAGAATCGAAAGTGCGATGCTTCTTTTTGTTCTACTTTATTCACCTTTCTTTTCTTTCTCATTCTTTCATTTGAAATTTCTTCATGAATCAAAATTGTTCTTCTTCTCACTTATTCGAACTTTCTTTTTGGTGGAAGCAAGGTGATTAAGCTACAAGCTGCCGGGTTCAGTTTGAAGCCTCTCTTGGGGAAGAAAACACCGTATTTTGTCTGGTTAAGGAAGGCAAGGCTGTTAAACTGCTCCCCAGAGATTTTCTATCATGAACACGTGGTTGTGAAGCTTTCAAGTCTCATGTTACCTTGTGATAGAAGCAGCAAACCATGAAGAAACTAAAACAAAGAGTACTTGAGCAAACAAACCAGTAATGCAAACCAAGAAATGAAAAACCTAAATCAACAACCAGCAACTATCACTGAAACCAATGATTGAACAGTGACCAATGTGAAAGAACTTGGATCATCAACTCAAGACTTTCAAAAATGCCCCAATGGAGGATTAAAGCTCAAAATCAATATCAAAATCTTCCCCTACTAATTGAAAATAGTAATCATACTCACCAAGAATCAAGCATCTCAATAACCAGCCCACAAACACTAATTAATAAATATTTATCATGACAAAAATTCAACCATTTGAATGCAACCTTGCACCAAACACCACCAGATCATGAATCCTCTTCTCTAAGATAAATTCTCAACAAGATCATCATAGAAGCAAAAAACTAATTGGAAACCTTACAAATGACCAACAATAACTGAGTGCTTAATTCAACAATTGCTAGGCGCAAGGCCACAGGCTACCAACAGGCTACCAGCAATAAAAGAAACTCAGCATTGTACTCTAATATTCCAAGAACCAGATCCAAACAAAGAAGGACCAAAAGTTGTTCAAACATAACCTAATCTAATATAGATCAACCATGTCACCATTGTTAAATTTTCAACACTAGTATGAACTGTGCCACCAGTATCCATTGAATCACAACATGTAATCACAAGAGAAGAGAAAAAAAATCCCGGTGATGAAGCAAGAACAAGAGGCAGAAAAATGGAACAAGTCTTCGATCAGATCTGGAACAAAACTTCAACCAGATTGAGATCCATAGCGAACAATGAATCACAGATTCACCAAATGTGATTTCACAAATGAACAAAGTAAGATCTCACCACAGTAAACAAACACAGCGAACGACGATAGTGGAAGCCATAGCAGTGAACGAGACTCTGATCTCTCAACGGCGCGTATGAAGCTTGCGAGTGAAGAAAATAGTGGTAAATGTAGATGTAGAAAATGCAAGAAATGGAGAGTGATCAGTGCCCAGAGTGCGTAACCGGTAGTGCATGTGAGACTTGCGATGAAGGAAGCGTCGATCATCGACTGAGAAGGAGGCGACAGAGGAAACTTTGAAGTGAATGAGGAACCCGGTGACCATGTGAGAAAAGTGTCATTGGCAATCGAATATGAAGAACAGCTGGTGACCGGAACGGCCCGATGACCGGAGTGTGTGAATAAGTGATGAACAATTGAGTGTTTATTAGGATTTGTTAAGTTGAATATTGAGAGAAAATATTAAATGTGTATTTTGAATTGAAGGAATTTGCAATACATGGATTTAAGCCTACTTACAACTATTGGATTTATATAACCCAAATCCATAACCAACTATTAACAAATCTAACTAATTAACTGATTACAATTGACTCAATCTTATACTCTAACATCTTCCAAGTTCGTACTGTTGTAGGATAATGTTTCTAAACTTGTGTTTTCATCGACAGTTCTTTTTGTTTAAAGCGGGTTGCATTGATGATCGTACGATTAATTTATTTGGGTACCTTTTAGAATTATGTTTCCACATTGGGTTTTCAATGATTTGAAGTGTGAATTCTGATCAATTTTCCTCACAGCTGTTCTGGAGAAAGTCTGGTTGTACATTTTGGGACCCACGAGCTGGAAGATTGCTGTCGAAGAAGGAAGAAGTTATTATTCGTCTTCGTTTTAGATCTATGCCGCTTCGAGATGATGACTGCTGGCGCATTGAAGAAGGTGAACGAGTTCTTGTCAACCTCAATTGCAATCCAAGAACCTCTTCCACGATGCTGCGGTGGAAAAGGTGCACTTCTATCTTCATATAAACTATAGATTATGCTAGACAAGTATGACAAGTATCGGTTCATCAGTCTTCGAAGCAAAGTTGCATTCTCGTGAGTTATTAGATCTTATATACATGATTGAAGTAACATCACTATATTTGATTGGTAGAATTAAACATGCAGTTATGTTATTCAAGAGACTAGTGCTACTTGAATTATTGCCCTATTCAGCATGAACCATCAAACCATGGTCCAGGTGATAAAGAAATAGCTAAAGTATGAAAATCGGTTCTCAAAATAATTGTAATGTAGATGTTGATTGAAATCTCATTATACTAGTAGAGCCTCAGAAATCGATAATAGTATCAAGTATCTCTTTTCCATATCTTAAAAAGCGAGTTACTTGAGTTTATAACTATGTTTCTTAGATATTGTGCTCCAGTAAGTTCATAGTTAAGATATATTCATTGAGTTGCCTTTAGTAGTTCTAAACATTACTGCTTGTTCGTTTTTTCACAAACTTTTGTCATTAGCAGGTGGAAAGAATTTGACACTCGAGAAGGAGCTGTAGATGTACTTTCATGATCAAATGGCTCGATAATGAGCTTGAAGGAAAACCCTTACCGTCCCATCAAATTCGATCATGAAGCTTGCCACCAAGAGCATCGGTGACTATCCAATTGTTCATACACTCTTAAAACCAGAAAAAGATGGAGATTTATCGAATTCATCTCCTTTATTGACAATTCCCGATGAGATTGATGCTGACGTAGAACAAGTAGCTGCAAAAGCAAATAGAACAGATTACCAACTTAGCTGATGCACCTGAGAAAGATTTTCAGGATGATTTTCTATGGACAAACATAGGTAAGATCTTGGCCATTGCCATTACTAGAAAATACCGATGCAGACCTTTTTTGCACGTTGTTTTACCTCAAACTTAGACCATGTCTCCATGCAGATAATTACCATCATCCTTGTTCTTTTATGAAATGGGACATGGCTCTAACTGATACATATGCTGGTTGGTTTTTACTTGTCCAGCTTATGACTTTCTGTTTCCTTGATGAAATTCAGATTTCAGCGTTTTTATAAGGAAATAGACCGTCTCAATAAGATTTTTTTTCTTAGCATTTGATAAGTACTAATGATGTGTTTCTATGTATGGCAATTTCTGTGGGATTTTAAACTGTTGCAAGAGATGTTAATGTTATAACTTAGAAGTGCTTAGTGCCATATATATATCCTATATAACAAATTTCCATGTGGTACAAATCATAATAACTCAATGTATTCTTTTTTGCAAGCTGTTGATATAATCTTGCCTGTTAATACAGTTCTTAGCAAGGGACCGACACCCCGCAAGCCTACTGTTGAATCCAATGCATGTATTCCATCATTGAAGAGGATGACACGGAGTAAAACGAAACTGCAAGTGGAAATATAACCCAGGGATCAATTTGGCACTGCAGCTTCCATGCAAGAAGAATTCGTTCAGAGTAGGTCTCATCTACGCCCACTTGCTTCGCGTGCAGCTCTTGCATCATCCTTGTTAAGTGCCAAGAAGCGTCTTGAAATGGATTTTGATTCATGTATGACTGACAACATGTTATGAAGGGTAAACATTCGGCCATTTCCGCTCCACTTGTTTCAGATGCTTCCCATGTCATACCGCCACTATTTTCAACCAAAGGAGATGCATCATCCAAACCTTCCTCTTGTGTACCAACTAAGGTTTGGGGAAACGAAAATAAGTCCCTGGAAAAGATCAACTGTAATGCTGAAGATAGGATCTCTGCTCCTGTGAAGGTTAAAGCTGAAAAAATCATCTCTGAAGTTGCTATGACTGCTGAACTTGCAATTGTTAGAGATAGGAAGTCCTCGGTACTAATGCAAGTTCAACAGCTCCTATGAGATTAACTCACTCAGCAACGCGAGAAGGGGCTGTGTCTCCAAATAAATGCATTGACGTTAAGATCTGCACCGACGACCAAAAGAGAAGGATATCTGGGAACAAAAACAAGTTGTGTCATTCAACAGTTCGTCAAGAAAATGAAATTTTGGCCAATGAAGAAGAGAACATCTCAACTCCTTTTACAGATTCAGGTCCATCTGAAAGAAACATTGCTATTCCTGAGAACAATGTATCTGCAATGGAAAGAACAAAATCCAAAAAGAAAAAGATGCCTCTGCACCATGTAATGTGAAGCATCATACCCTTAGCACCTTACCAATGAAAAAAGAGCTGGATTACTGATCTGTTTCTGTTAATTGTTATACATCTCTATATAATGAAAGCTCATAACTGCTATATTATTCTTTGCTCTTGTTGTTGATTCATTTAGTTAATTGGTTCATAAATAACTTCTTAATTTAGGATCTTGCAATGATTTCGGTACTGCAGCACAGGATGGACTGGGTGTTAGGAGTGATCACAGCAAGAAGAGAGAGAAAAGTGGTTAATACCAATAAGCAAGGCCGACGTTTTTCACCTCAAAATCTTGAACCTCGGACTCGCTCCCAGACTAGGTCCCACCCCAGGAAGTAGGAGAAACTATTAATAGTTAGAACACTTAAATTGCTAGCTCAAGTGTACCGGACATGATCTATATAGTTAAAAACTAGTTGCTTTATATAATGAAAATGTTGAGCATGATAGGAAGATGTTGCAGGTAAATATGGTTATGAATAGTTTTTCAATATGCCGGATGTGCTGTCATCAATGTGCAGTGCTCTTTTGAATTCAGTTATCTGTTATTATTACTATTATCATTCTGCTGTGTGATGCTGAATTGCATATTGGTTGAGTTTACAGCAGACATACTTCCATCGATACGGATAATGGGCAACAAGAAGTTGTCTTTTGTTTCGTACTCTGTTATATGCACTGAAGAAAGATGGGCTATTGGAACAAAAAGATCTCTGCTAGAGGTCAGTTTAAGTAAATTAACGTCTGCTGCAATATTGAGACTGAACTTCCGAGTGATGAAAGTGCTGCCAATGATAATGCATAGGCCATTGGAATTGCTACCATCATTTTCCTGGATCAAATCCAATGCCGAAAGATAAATTTGCTCTGATCTTCAGCCAAATCTATTTCTTTTCAATTCCAAATTTCCCCATTGGCTTCCATCTCTAGCTGCAGATCTTCAAAAATATTTTTGTGAATTTCATATTGCATAAGCGGTATTTGGAGCATAATTTCTGGTTCCTGGCTTTTCATTGCCGTTGCTATGACAGGTTCACACGCAAAACTGGCTCTTTATTGAAATAGTTATCATGTATTTAGCAGAGCTCAAATTCTGTATTGCAAATGAGAACCACGTCGATTGATATTGGTATGTGAAAAATACCAAATGCAGATGTCCCTACACGATCAACGCCTCAACAAAACAGCATCGAGAATATTAGGAAATATGATCTTCAACATACGAGTGTCGATGCTAAGATTTAATGGGGTTGGAAAGAAGCTTAAGAGCCAAAGCAAGTCCAGTTTCTGCATCAATAACTTGATATAAGTCATAGAAATCGAAAAAAGAAATAGCTAACCCACTGAGAGGGGAGAGTTCAACATGGCATGAAAAATTTACACCAACTGTTAACCAAGCTTGATATCGCACAAAGAATATATAACTCATGCAACAATAGTCTACCACTATCTATTTATCCAAAGGCTCGTATACAAAAATAAATACCACAACTGTCCTCAATCGCTATCCAAAAGGATAGTTCCCTTAAGGCTGTGCTTAGCACACATTGACTGCACTTCATAACAATGCAGTGCATTCCAACATGGTCACCCCTCAAGGTGCACCATATGTTAAAAGCAGTTTAATAGGTAAAAGCATTCCTGCATTCAAAGCAAAAAAAAAGAGAGGATAAAATACGAGTAAAACATTAGCAATACCATTTATAGCAATATATCGTTCAAGGTGTTTAACAACATTGATTTGTCTTCATTTCTGAAACAACTCTATAATCTAAACATCCATTGCAGACGCTTAAAAAGTGCAAAAACCCTCAGTTGCCTTCAAATTTTGGGACAGCCATCACGAAATGATACGCTATAACAAGCACGAAAATGAAGATTCCAAGGAAATTCGCAAAGAAGCCGAGGTCTTGATCGTCAATCATCTGAAACAATACAAGAAATAACAAAAGCATAAATCAGTTTCAAAACATAAATTTATACTTATTCGACTCCCATATCAGGCTGACAAAAAGCAGTTTAAGACTTTTCTCTATCCTTATCCCTTAAACTAATGCTTATTTCATCTAAACAAAAACCATATAGGCAAATCGGAAAACAGCAGAAGGTCAAATCGGAACATCAAGGCGTGATCTCCCAATAGGTAAAGCTAATTACACAAGGAATTGTTCACATAAAAACGATCCTAAAACTAATTACAATTATTTATCCAAAACTCAAACAGGAAACTCACAGAATAAAATATGAAGCTAAAATCTCTTAAGAATAAGTTGAATCTTTCTTAAATTACGAGATCAAGAACTCGAAAACCCCAATCATAAAAGTTTCTGGAATCAAAATAAACGGAAATTTAACGATCTTAATCGTCTTAAAGCGTGCCCTAAAAACTGGAAACTAAAATTAAAGGTATAGAAAATTGGGAAACGGGGATTGTATTATAAAATTTGAGAAAAATAACGGAATATTAGTAGTTAATAATATATATAGTAATGATAGTGATATATTTAATTCTCTCACCTTGACAGCTTTTGAGCAATGAAGAAGACGATCCCAAGCAATCCGATTTGTAATTGTTGATCAGCACTCAAAAAAAGGGGGAAAAACTAGTAGCAGACATGTTCCAGAGTCAGTCTACGAACGACGTCGTTTTAAAACTTGCTTTCTAATTTCCAAAATAAGTTAAAATTATTTTTAAAAAAACACACAGACAATTTTTTGAAATAAAATGTTATTTATAATATTCATACAATTAATATCTAAAAGTAATATATTTACAAAAAAAAAAACTATTGCACCCACCCTAATTATTTATAAATAATATATAAATATATTTTATAAAAATCATATAACTATATTATAAATAATATTTTTTAAAATGAATTATAAATAATAGTCTTAGAGATACATTTTTCCGACTCAATTTAGTCCTCGAAGTTATTTAATTGCATCATACTAAATTCTAAAGCCTAAACCTACTTTAAAATTTTAAACCATAACCCTATAACCCTAAACCCTTGAACATCAAACTTGACTTAAAACTCTAAATAATAGTAAATAGTTTAAACATCGATGCAATTAAGTAACTTTAAGGGTTAAAAAATGCGAAGATATCATAGAACGAAATGATAAATTGAATTTACTACATAGGCAAAAGTGGCTCTTAAGTCTTAATAATATTTATAAAATTATATTAAAAAAATGATATCATTAAATAAATCAACTTGTGATGGGATTATATTGAACTAACCTAAGGGTGCATTTGGTTCACAGAATGTAAAATTGTCTTTGAGAATAAGATTATTGGAATGTAACATTACTCTGGAAATATTGTATTATCTTGTTTGGTTTGCTTAGCAAGAATGTAAGATTCATGTGTTTGGTTGGAGGAATATATATTATTTTAAAAAGTTAAGCTTTAATATTAAATTATAAACATCTGAATGAAAATTTATAAAAATATTTTAATTATTACAATATTTAAGTTTAAAGAAAATGCATTTAGCATATAGTTAATATAATTAGTATATTAATATAATTAGTATATCAAATTTATATTTTTAAACAATTTTCATAAATAACATATTTATTTATGTAAAATATAATATAATATAAAAATAATATTGTGATATCAAGTAGATAAATATATTATTTTTAATGTATGAGATTTATTTTTTATAATTAAAAATTAAAATTATTTTAAATAATTATATTTTTTATAATAATAACATTTCACCTCGTAAAATTATAAAATGATTAATATACAAATATGAAATAATTTTAACTATTCAAATTTATTATTATTTTACTAAATTAAATTATTTGTATATTATTATTATTAAATTTAGAATTTTGAGTAAAATATGAAGAATAAGAACCGAGAAGAATCCATCTGAATTTATTATTATTATTTTAGAGGTATTTATGTCCAAAGTTGTGAGAATTATTCATTACCTAAGAATTTAGAGGTAATGACATTCCTACCATTTTAATAAAAAAATACTATTATTTATAAATAAATTATTACATGAAAATGATTTTTTAGCGAACCAAAAGTCGGAATACAATTATGGAAAACGTGAACTAAAGGCCCCTAAAAGTGTTAGATATTTATTAATTTTTAAATTAAAATAATATTATTTGGATATTAAAATAATGCGACGAAGAAATATCATTTTGGTATGCCCATTTACGTCGACAAACAATTAACGATATAGTGATATAATAAAAAAAAAATTCAATGATTTAATTAAAATGATTGAAAGTTTAATACATAATTTAAAGTTAAGTGGTATATGATGTAGTTTACCTAAAATAATTAAAAAGAAGGCTAAATTACACGCTTACTCACTAAACTTCACCTTCTCTCTTATTTCACTCACCATACTTTCAATTTTTAATTTTTTTCACTAAACTTTAGAATTGAACTTTTTTGTCACGACTCTTTACTCAGGAACGGGTGCTCATGTGGCCTATTTTATTAATAATCATGTCATATCTGACTTATAATTAAAAAGATAAATTATAAGTTTACTCTCTCTCCTATTTTACTCACTATACTTTTAATTTCTTTTCAACAATGTCATAACGTCGTTATAAATTTAACGGTTGAGTGACCACAAAAGTTCAAGGTCTAAAAGTTAGTGAGAAAATTGAAAAAATTGAAAGTATAGTAAGTAAAATATGAGATAGAGTAAAGTTTGTTGAGTAAGAGTGTAATTTACCCTAAAAAGAAAAATGTAATTTGCCCAATCCCCAAAGCCAACTCAACTCCGTGTCACCTGGTACTTTTCTTGCATCTAGGGGGTGTTTGGTTCAAGGATTGTGGGATTCTCATGGGATGAGAATCCCACGTTCCCATGGGATGAGAATCCCACATTCTCATGTTTGGTTGGCCGGGAATCTCATTCCCGGTAATATTTTATTACCAATAGTAGATTTTTTGGGGTATATTACCGGGAATGTCATTACCTCCCTTCCCTTAGGTATTGTAACATTACCGTGTTTTGAACTAAAATGCCCTTAAATTTTTATTTTTTTTCAAAAATATCATTCTTCTGTCATTGAATAATAAAAATTCTACGAAGGTTAAATTTCAAATTTATCCTTAAATTATTTTAGATTTAAAAAAATCTATAATTAAATTTTTATATAAAGTTCAAGGATTAAATTTTTTACCCTTTCATTGAACCTTTTTTATATTTTTTATTTTATAAAAAAATTTATATAAATATTATGAATTTAATTTTTTAAAGAAAATATATAAATATTTTACAATTTGTAATATTATACAAATATATAATAAGGATAATTTGGTCAAATATACATTTAATAATATTTTATTCCTTTAACCAAACACGGTAATCTTACATTCCTGCTAAACCAACCAAACACAAAATACAACATTCCTAACTGATAATCTTTTATTTTCACTGATAATCTTACATACTGTAAACCAACGCACACTTAGAGTTTACAGAAAGAAAAACATAAATGGTTGAGATTTTGAGAGATTCCCGTTTAAACAACAAAAGCAGCCCAACACAGACCTAACCCTGTCCATTTCACTTTCTCAATAAAAATTCCTAGGGTTCCCTGTCTCCCCAACAACACCAAATGTATCAGACAAATTAGATTGTGTCCGAATATAAATTTAAATTGTTCGATTCACTTGGAACCCAGTATAGCCATACACTTCAGATCCAAGTCTTTTTCTTTTTTCCGTTTTATTAAAACAAATTGTTTCATTTGAAGATAACATTTTGAACCCCTTACAGGGTTTTAAAAGAAGCATGTCTGCAGGGGTTTGTGGGAAAAGGGTGGGATTTGAAGAACTATTCGGATCCTCACCCAAGAGATTCAGGTGTTCCAGTTCGGATCCTGGGTCCAGACCCGATGACCCGGTTTCAACTTTCTCTGCTTTGGATACTGAGGTTCATTTCATTTTCTTTTCATTATAATCTTTCCACATTTGTTTTGTTTTTAATATTGATACGTGTTTGAATTTAGGCCCTTTTTGTTTATGTATGCTTATGAAATTTTGATTACTGGGTAGAACTTGATATTGTTTATCCTATCTTCTTTGTTTGAAACCTTAATTATGTCTTAATCTTGTTTTATGCTTTTAGTTAATAACATCCGTTGTCCGAAACCACGACAGTAAGAATGAAGATGTTAAGGAGAGTTCGAATGCATTTTCTTCCGATACCCAAGAACGAAATAAACAACATAATTTTGATCATGTGAGAACTGGAAATTGTACCGATGATACTGCTACATGTAAGTTGTTTATCTGTGACTTTCGATCGAGTTGTATGTTCTGTTTGTTTGGAATTTACAATCGGTTTTCTGCTTTTGTTATAAGTTAGGTAGCCAAATCTCTGGCTACGATGTTGAGTATAACGGAAATGCAGTTGATTCTCCCAAGTGGGCGGATTTGTTTGTGCAAGAGATGTCGGGTACAGCGAATATAGACGATGCTAAAGCCCGTGCTGCTAGGATTTTAGAAGCCTTTGAAGGAAGTGTTGTTGCCAATGAAAGGGCTGCTGAAGAGATAGTAAAAAAAAACTTTAAATTTCTCATTAAGCTTTGCTTCCGTCCTCTATATGGCTGATCGATTTTCTGTGATACATGATAACTAATCAGATCGAGCATATGCTTCTTTGAAGGAACATTTGCGGAGCTTGTTGGATAACAATCAAATTCTGCGGAGAGTTGTTGCTTCGGAATGAATGCAACGTCGAGCAAGAAGGAAAGGAAACAGAAGTACAACACTTGAAGCTCACGCTCAACCAGTGCATTGAACAAGCTCGATCTTTGGAGGTATTCAACTTTTCAACCTCCGCGTCTATTAACTGTCTTTACCTGTGCATCGGGTGTTATATTACTAGAGTGACAATGTGGAATTCGTTCCGACGTTCGATTCATACCTCCTCTAGTAAGACCAATAACAAAGCTTTACTATAAACTTGTTTTCGGGATGCAGCTGAACAACTACTCATTAAGACTTCGTCTTCAGAGGACACAACAAAGTAGCTCAATTAATTGCCAATTTCCTCCCGACATATACTAAAAGCTTCCGTTCATGTAAACCGACGAATGACATGATGATTTATACAGTATTGTAGTAATGTGTGTAGTTCGTATAATTGAAGCCAAAATATCAGTTTCTACGCAACCTCTGGAGTGATTACGATGTGGTGTTTGTTCAAGATTTTTCCCCCTCAACTTGCTGACAATGCACTCAAACCTTACAAATAAAGAAGCTAGTCGAACTTGTACCTTTTAGAGAGATCAATATTACCTTTACCACTGAGGTCACTTCTTATCGTATAAGAAGAATGGCTCGGCATGGTTGAAAAAGAATTGAATGTTGCAAATAATATTCTTAAGAAGCTTGCAACTCACTATGAGAAACTCGGTTGTTATAAGAAAATGCAAAATCCTACATGTCACTGTTGTGGATAGATTGAGATGCTAGACCTCATTGAAGTAAGTTGAAGAATGAACCAAGGTGGAAACAAAACTATAGTGTTTGATCCTCTATTGCAGCAGTGAGTCACTGTGTCTTTAGACATAATAGTTTTTAAAGCAAGAAGGTGAGACCATGCCCTAAAGTTGAGAACAACAAAAGGCTTATTTCCATTATGGCAGAGCTGTTTTCGTATTAAGCAAAGGTGTTTTTTTTTTTTGGAATGTAAAAGAAAGGCCTAGGCCATTACAAACGATTAAGAAAAGCTAACGAAAGCTGGACCATAAAGGTCACGATTAATATGAGACGCAACTTATTGGGGTGCTTACCGTAGAATGCAACAGCAGTTTTCGTTATGAGCAGCAAGTTTGGCGAGGCTGTCAGCAACAGCATTGGCTTCACGGGGATGTGGACGAGATCAACCATCCATGGTCTGCTTATGAGATTTGCTATATTACGAACAAGAGAGAGAGAGGGAGAGAGCAATTCCAGGGATTCTTACTTGAGATTAGCTTAAAAGCTTCCGCACAATCAGGACATTGAATCTTTTCAAGATCATACGACCACGCAATTTGTAGACCATTCAAGATGCCCTAAAGTTCGGCTTCCAAGGGAGTTGAGATTCCTACCGATTTATAGTAACCAACAATCCAATCACCGTTGCTATTGCGAATGAGGCCGCCAATAGAACCATGGGAGGACGGAATATGGACAGCACCATCAGAATTGAGTTTACACCAATCCGCAGCAGGCGCAGCTGTCCATTGAACTGTGGTGAGACGGGGATTATCATCTATATTTTCAGGAGGCTGAAAATTTGTGATGAAATGCAGGGACCAATCGTTTGAAAGGTCGGAGCCAGCAAAAAGAAGAGCATTTCTTCGCTTCCAGACTTGCCAAGTTATCTAAGGGAAAAGGACACGACAAGGAATACCTGTACCATGAAATAAATGGTGTGAGTTGAGATTCAACGAGAGCCAGCTGTTCCGGTCCAAATTAAAGAAATTTTAGAGATGTTGGTGATTGATTGAGCGCCAAAGATCAGCCGTGTTCCTGCAGTCGCAGAGGACATGGAGGACTGATTCATCCGCTTAACCACAAATTTCACATAGAAAATCATTCGTTAGGTTCCTAGAACATCTGCTAACATATGTGACCAACCGATCTTTGTAAGCAAGCCAAAGAAAGTATTTAATTCGCTCTTGAACTGGTAAACACCAGAGTTTTGTCCAAATTGCGTCCTCCTCATCCAGAGGTCCTTAACGAGCAGGTTGTAAGAGGACTTAATAGAGAAAGCATTATGCTTCCCCTGAGGCCATATGCAACGATCAGTACCTGAGCTGGAATTTGGAGTGAGTACATTCATGAAATGAGGAAGGGCAGTGGGCTGGAGGAGTTCACGAAGCAAATTCCAATTCCAGCTTCCGCTTGGGAGAACCAGACCACTTACTAAGAGGCTTTCATCAAGGGGTGCACCTCTTTTTTCCAGTACAGTAAAGAACCGAGCCTTGGGATCCAAATGTCTTGCCAAAAGTGAACGTTTGACCCATCTCCAACCGACCATGAAATGAAACCGTGAAAAAAAATCCCCAAACGCGCGATAAGGCCCTCCAAAGATGCGAACAATTTGGTCTCTCTATAGTTGCAGGGCAGGCGGAGGTCATCTTATATTTTTGTCGGAGAAGCTGAATGTAATAGTTATCAGGATTTGAGACAATGGCAAAACAAATTTTCGTAAGATAGGCATAGTAGTGCTGATGTAGTTTCCGGATACCGAGACCTCCAGTATTCCTTGGTTGAGTTAAGGCGGCCCAATTGACAAGAGGATTCCATCAGATGCTGTAACATCTCACAGAACAAATGATTTAGCTGAAGCAAGGAAAGATCGATTATTTTCGTATAACAGATATGTTTCCACAATTATGGATTTTGATCTGATACTATAAATGTACCATTGAAGGATGGAAAAAGTTCTTTGAAACAAATGAAATTGCATTTATCCTTTGTATAATAGTTTGTTAAAGTTTAATTATTATTTTATAATTTTTTTTGAAACCCTTTGATGGCTAAAATGATTATTTTAGTATGATTAAATGACCATATATGTACTTTATCCAAATTGCAATGACTTCATGAAATAAGCTGCACTTCGGACACGACATCGCTAATACCCCGATCCTCATTTTTACTGCGCTGTGAAAAGGGTACATCCTTAACTTTGCGTTTCCCGCCGAATCCTTGTAAGTCGGGTTAAATGTATTTTTCATTTTTGAAAAATCTATCCGCTGCATCCGACAATGGCTCCCAAAACTCCTCACCAAAACGACGGCAACGCCACCCAAGAAGACGGCAATGACGGCAGTTCATCATACTTCCAAAAAACAGTAAAAAGATTCCTGCTTTATATGTTCCCTGCAATCGAAAGTCTCAGTCCATGTTAAACATTTTTCTTTTTTCCCGATTATTTATTTTATTTTAGGTTTGTTTGCAAGATTGGTGGTTGGTCAAAGCCGAAAAAGAGTTCGAAGGAAGGAGATTAGCTGTTGCAGGATCCACATCCATAGGGTAAGATTTTCTTTAAGCTTCAGGGTTTTTCTGGGATTTTTTTTTGTTTTAATTTAAGAATTTGTGTGAAACAGGTCAAAAGCGTTTCGGCTATTCACCTCTGCACCGATTGTAAAAGCTTACGATGTTTTTACTCTCCAGACAGCTGATGGAATTTGTGTTTGCATAAGAGGTTTCATCAACGAACAACGAACCATTGAAAATGGGTTTTCTTCTGAGGTATCCTAGAAATTCGATTTTTTTTGTCTTTTTATAGGAATCTTTAATGTTGTTATTCTTGGTCCTCAGAAAAGAAAGGAATAATGTTGTTTGAAAGTAATTGATTTTGTGTCAAGCTTAATTTCAGTGTTTCCCAGGTTTAGATTTCAAGTTCATAGTATTTTTTTCTTTTATTCTGAACAGGTCTTTACTTATTTCTACTTCGGCTTTCCTCCTTACTGGGAACAATATGCTAAAGAGTGTTTGGGGAAAACTATTTCCAGTGACGTCAAAGTAGAAGTTGTCCGAAATTCTAGTAATGAAGCAAAAGATTCAGGTTTCTATACATGCATTTTGTTTATTTGGATATATAATTAGACTTAGATTAGATGGCAGAATGTGACTTTACTTGTTCTTACACAACGTTTTCTCTTAAAATTATGTTGTCATGACAGATCCTAGCTTGATTTTGACTCCAAGTAATCTTGCCGATAACCTGAACACTATGGTTGAAGAGAGATCAAACTTTGACAGCAGCCAGAAAAAGGACAAGGATTCAATAATAAAGGTGCGAGATGAGCAAAATTCGAAGAGGAACACACCGATCAGCTTATCCTCTAAGCTAAACCGTGTCAAAGAGCACTCACCCAGGAAGGGAACTCGGAAAAAACTTGATTTAGTAGATGTTGTAAGCTTTCTTCTCTATTTCTATATTTTAAGTGTCCCCTTTGACTTGTAGACAGTAATATCATATTGTCATACTTGCCTGGTTTTACTCAAAATGTAACTACCTCACTCTTCTAATCAGATATGGCATACGATAATCTTTATTCACCTATAATAAACGGTCCCGACACTTGCTGCTTGCCTGATTTTATATTTGATGCAGATTGACCATGTTGTATTCACATGTTCTGAATTCTTCTCACTAGAGAAGTGGGTTTTTTTCTACAATTTACTTTGTCATTTTGTTGTTATTTACTTATTTGTTTCTACTGCGTGTATGTTTGTTTGTAACACTAAACTTAATGCCATGTTTGAAAACATGATTTGTGGAAATGAAACATGCATTATGTATAAAAATAATATGAATTTCAATCTCATTACTAAGTGGTCATCTAACAAGTTCATGAATTAGGAAAATAATCATAAATGCTACATTTGTATGTTTAATCACAGTACTTGCATTATTTTGAAATCCAATTTCCCAAGTGCAATCTTAGTCTTTTTCGTCCTTGAATCATTTGATTGTTTCTGTTTCTATTTAGGCAAGTCCTGTATCCGGCACAAGAAAAGGGACACTATCAATTCTCTCTCCCAAGTCTCTGAATCTCAAGAGGTCAAGATCAGGTGAGTGTACAATCTATAAGATTCAGAAACTTCTATAAGATTCAGAAACTATCTTATCCATCGTCCCAAAAAGTCTTGTACTCTTCTCCTTCCCTTTAATTTTGTTATAATTTTGCTATCTTTTGCATTGCCAAGTAATGGTGCCTTTCCTTTGTAATTGTTAATAAATATCCCTTGGAAGTTAATTTATATGGTGCCCCACTTCTTATCTAAACACTAATCAGCTAAAGAATCATTTTCAGTGAATTTTGCTCTCATTTTTAACTGCAATTTTCCAAATCTATCTGACCAAGCAAATGACATCATTAATAATTTTTCTTTTCTGCTTTCATGGTAGAATTATTATGGGGACCGAAATTCCTTGCACCATTTAATTTTCATTGTCATTAGATTCGTGTTCTTTCAACTGTTTGACTTATTTCTGTATGTTGCAGGCAGAGTCCTTTTACCTCCAATGGAATTCTGGCGCAACCAAATTCCTGTTTATGATCAGGTTTGTGATTCCATTTTGGCCTATGCTTTGCTTTCCTTGTCTTGCATCATTCCCCACCTCCAGTTTGAGAGTTTGCCCTCTCCTCTCAACCTCTCGAATCTTTAGGATCGTACAATCACTGGCATTATGGAAGGGATGGATGACACTCAACCATCAGGTTTGTCTAATATTTAATGCATGATTAGTTTTCCTTGGTTTCTCTAAGGAAATAGATTCATACAACTTGGCTTTTTATCTTGTGTTCCGTTGCTCATCTTTCTTTAACATTTGGCTCAGAAAAAAGTTATCCATCCTAGAGTATTTTACAAGTTACGTTAAGATAGTTATTTAAACACATCTATGGATGCTGCTAATTTTTTTGGTTTCTACATTTTATCGTTAGGGAGCAGGTCGAATCCGAAGCGTCACAAAAGGTGAAGAAACCTTCATCCGTGAAGTGTTAATATTGTGTTAACTGGTCCCTAAAAACGATGCCCTGGTAGGACCCTGTGACATTTTCTCTCTCTTTTAAAGTGTATTTTAGCCTTTTTATTTATAATATTAATTGCCATGCCAAGCCAATGACAAACTTCGAACTTGTTACTACCTAAGCTTTTCATTAACATATCTACAACTTCGTCTTGTATCTTGATATATTTATGTCAAGTCAATCGATCAATGACATAAAATAATTAAGAGAAAGTGAATTGACAATAAAAAAAAAGGCAATTAAGGTCCTTGAACTTTCCAAAAAAAAATTAATGTGGTTCTCATCTTGATTTTTGGATTAATGTGGTATTTTAACTCGAAAAAAGAACCTAATGTGGCCTTTTGATCAATCTTTTTCGTCATTGACCAATGATTTTGTTAATTCCTGTTGTTATAAATCAGGTAAATTATATTATTCATCACTTAACTATTTTCTTCTCTTTTATTTTGGTCACTAAACTTTAAAAGTTTTTAATTTTGGAAACTTTAGAGCCTTCAGGGACCAAGGCTATATTTAACCCATTTTATTTAAAGGGTAAATTGCATAAATGATCACTTTCGTTTCAAGGATAAACTACTAGTCATGAGTCCTTTTGTAAACCCAGAATAGTTCGTTATGAAATATCAATTTATCCCTTTTTTCCATATTTTTCTTCCTCAAACCTATCTTCTCATAACCTCTTCTTTTCAGATTCCTTTCTTCAAATGGAAATCCTTTTTTGGTACCCTTGTTCTCTGTACTTAGTATTTTTCATATTTTCGGGTGTTCTTCACTCCGAGACTTTTTATAGTTGTTTTAAGTAGTTATTCACACTGAATGAGAACGCTCAGTGCTTTAACCATCTTTAATTTTGCTATCTATGATGATTCAGGGAAAAGTATCATGTGAGGTGTGTGTGAATACAGGTAACCAGACAATTGTTCGTCAGGACTGCTATGCTAAGGTGAGGAATCAACTCGAAGGATACACTGGTAAGACCAGTTTTGCTTCCTTGCCATCTATAAGAAAAGTCCTTCTATACCCGATTGCCCATTTTTTTAATGGAAGATCCATTCACTGATAACCCTATAGACTGCACCAATATATATACCATTTGAGCCAGTGGATGTACTAGGAAGTGGGAAACAGATTCGGATGCTGCTGTGATTTGGTTCCTCATTGGTTATATTGTATGTGTGAATGTAAATTATCATAGTTCAGTTATCGAATAAGGTTCCGTATCCCCAAAGAACTTTTTTGCTTGCTCGGCAAGTAAGTGCATATAACTAGGAGCGTGAGCGATCAATGTCGAAAGGTTGAGAGTTATCTTTGAATAAATATTGTCATGTATTTACTCCAGATTATTAAAAAAAAGTAAACCTATGATTGTGGCTTACCTACTGGTACTATAATATTGAGATGCAATTGAATTTGAGTTTTCTGAGTGAATTGAGATATCAGCTTTGCACAGATAGACTATTCGACTGTTCTACAGTTAGTTTCCTTCAACCTGAGTAAGGATAATAATTGTTAGAAGAAAACCGAAAGATAATAAATTTTATAGTTTTCTGTCGTTCCTTTATTCACAATTACAGTACGGAGGAGAAGATATCGGAATTTGAACTCCGATCATTGAGGTGTTGGCGGGGAAGGGTTGGGATTTGGGCAGGAAACATGATTCGTAAGAACAGAAAACAAAGAAAAATCTACGGAGTGGAAGCCATAAGGAATAAAATAGCTCAAACCATTGGATTAGAGATGAAGCAGGAGAAGCGGCGCGGCAGAGAAGATAGGTTCGGGGAAGAAAACATATGGAAAAAAAGAGATAAATCGGTATTTTATACTGAATTATTTTGGATTTACAAAAAGACTTATGATTAATAATTTATCCTTAAAACAAAAGTGATCATTTGTGTAGTTTACCTTAAAATAAAATCTTAGTCCCTGAAGTCTCTAAAGTTTTGAAATTGAATTTTTTAGAGTTTAGTGATCAAAATAGAAGAGAATAAAATAGTTGAGTGATGAATGGTGTAATTTACCAATTTATAACCGCAGGAATTAACGAAATCGTTGGTCAATGACGAAAAACGTTGATCAAAGAGTCACATTAGGTTCTTTTTTCGAGTTAAATGATTACATTGATCCAAAAACTAGGATGAGGGTCACAATGATTTTTTTTGAAAAGTTCAAGGACCTTGCCTTTCTGCCTAAAAAAATTTGTGTAAGTTTTAGAAAAACTGGGAGAAAATGATACAAATGATTTTGATTTGAAGTAAGTTCAACTTTTTTTTTACAGTCGGTGAGTGTTGGCACAATTGGTTGAGATTCAAGAATTTGAGCTTGTAAGGAGGTTACATTCGAATCTATTATAATCTCTCTCGATGGACAATCTGTAAACTTCTATGTAAATCCCAATTGAGTCTAAGAGGTATACCATGACCATAGACTAGAGGAACCACCCTTGACCTATTTTTTTTGTAAAAAAAATAAAACCTAAAGTTTTTTACAAATTTATTCATATGATCTATATTTTGTGGCAATGTATAACCTTAGAAGTATTTAATATTTATACCTCAAAATCTTACATTTACATTATTCCTAAAGAGAATTTACAAATAAAAAAATTATAAAAAAATCTTACTAGATAGATTGTTTGTACAAATGAAAGTTGATTCACACTCGAAAATACTTAATATGAAATACAACAAGGATAATATGTGTTCAACGTAAGAAAGACTAAATGAGTTCAAATTTTAGCATTTTTTATTGTTTGGAATGACTTTCTTACTTATTATTGAGCGCTACAAGACATTCTTTTTTTATATGCTCTCAATACTTTCTAGCCTTTGAGATAGTTAGAGTAGCTTTGGAGAAGTTGAAAGTCTTAATTTTGGAACATTCTTCGGCCGCCGTGTCAATAAATGAAAACCCCACATTTACTTTTATCCGAACACCCATGTAGAAACTCGTGTTGGAATTGGTTCTTTCCTTGGCTTCTAAACTGTCGAGTCTCTTGAAAATATTTTGGGTGTTCCGGTCCTTCATGGAAGATATTTTATTCTTGAGAAAATGAGAAACAGACTTGGTAGTTGGACTGCTAAATCTCTTTGATTGGCCGGAATAATTACTGTATACTTCATGCAGACCTCCCTTTTCCCACACAGTTTTTGCAATAAAATCAAAAAGTTGATGCGACAATTTATATGGGGCTCTACGAATACCTCTTCTAAAGTCTCCCTTATTAATTGGGAATCTCTTTGTCGACCGATAGATCATGGGGACTCGGTACCCGGAAGACATGATTTCAATCTCGCTTTTATCTCTCGTCACCAAACTTGATTCTTTATGGGTCCGTATCCTCCGACAGAAGTACAAAATTGAGACTCTTTGTCCCGACACGGAACAACTGCTCTCCTTTGTGGAAAGCCATCACGATCTCCTGAGGTGATCTAAAAGCAAGTATTGCTTGGTCCATAGGCAATGGTTTTGTCGCAAATCCTTTTGATGGCATATGGATTCCCAATATCGGTCCGCTGAGGAACCACCTGATTGTCCCTAATAATGATATGCATATAGATCGTTTCTCTGATCTTGTTAATACCACTGGTAATTGAGATATTCGTTACGGAAGACAGTTATCGGATAGAACAAAATCGTAACTGATAATTTGAAAAAATAAAAAAGAATATAAAGAAGACACAAATTTTACGTGGAAAACCCCAAAATAATATAGGAAAAAAACCACGGGCAACAGTAGAAGAATTTCACTATGAAAAAATATGAATTACAACTTCTCTCGATCTACCAAAGAGAAAACAATGATAATTCTCTCTTGATAAAAAGGAGAAAACAACTCTCAAGAAACTCTCTAAATTCTTTAATATTGGTAGAAAACTAAAATAATTTGGGATGGTTTTGAAGCTAAATGAGTTAGAGTATTTATAGTTAAAACTTAAGGACTAATCTTGTAAATACCCTAAAGTATAATGACTAAATTGCAATTATACCATCTATTTTTTAATTCAACTTTCGGTGGAATTATATTTGTTTTCCACCTTTCGGTGCTTTTCCACCGAAAATACACAATTGTTGAATTGTTTGAAAGTGGCCAAGTTGGCCACTTGGTCAAACTTTGATTTTTCAACAATCTCTCACTTGAAGATTTGATTGGAACAATCATATCTTCACAACATTCTTTCTACCTTGTACCATCATGTTGCTTACGTCTCTGGCATGCCACAAGAGGATCGACACCAGGTAAATTTATCAGCATTGATTGCCTTCGTCATGAAATCTGCTATGTTGTCTTTGGTATAGATTTTCTACATATCTACCGTCCATTCTTCCACCTTTTCACGAATAAAATGGTATTGAACTCGTATTTGCTTTGTCATTGAATGAAATGTTGGATTCCTTGCTAAATGCAAGGCGCTTTGACTGTCACAAAACAAAGAGACATACTCTTGATTGTGCCCAAGCTCCTCCAATAGCATCTTCAACCAAATTACTTCTTTACTGGCTTGTGTAGCTGCTACATATTCTGCCTCTGTTGTGGATGTAGCCATAACTGACTGCAATTTTGAAACCCAGCTTACAGCTCCACCAATAATTTTGAACACATATCCTGTAGTAGATTTACTTTTATCCAAATCCCCTGCATATTCAGAATCTACATACACATTGATTAATAAGTTTGATCCTCCATAACATAATGTAACATTTGAGGTCCCTTTGATGTATCTCAGGATCCTCTTTACTGTATTCCAATGCTCTTTGCCTAG